AAAGGCTACTCGTAATAAATTCATTAAATAATTAAAAAATGAAATATCTTGCTTATAATAAAATACATAAATATTTTAATCATTTCTATATGAACTAAATAAACATAATATAGCAAATGATTCAGACAATCTTTACTGTACCAGGTCTAACCATGGTGACATTTTCCAGGCCAGGCAGACTTTTCAACATTTGGAGTTGTACTTCAGCTGGTAACGTACATGATAACCCATTTGGATACAATAAATCACTGTTTAACCCTGGCAGAAAAACAGCATAATGAGAAATGACAAAACTACGTTTTTATATTCCAGGGTAACACTCATTTACTTCGAGAAGTATAAATGCAAAACAACTTGTTTGCATTGCTTATTTTTGTTTACTTGTTTAGTTGCTCAAGAGGATTAGCTTTTTTTACAGAATAAGAATATTATAGATATGCTTATAACTGCTGTATAACTTAGCTAAAATTTAAGCTGCAATATCTGAAGTTAAAAAAATTTAGTCCATAGAGAAAAAATTAATTAATTAAACAAAACTAGCATTCACCCTGCTGGCAAATACCCAGTAGTCTTGCTCAATGCAGTGGGTGACAATTATGTTACAAAACTACATCAATTGGACAAAATACTAAAGAGACAAAAGAAGAAAGTTACCTTTTGTTTCATACATGCACTCATACACTATCTACAGACTATTTAAAAAAAAGTCTAATGAAAATCTTTTGAAACTTTGAGAAGCTTTATTAAAGAAAAAAAAATGAGAAAGAATGTTTTGTCACTTTAATAAAATGTATACAATTGAGGAACATTTAACAACTTTCTAAAATTTCTGATAAAATTTGAATAACTCAAGCAAATAGCAGGTTAGTTCTTAAATTAATCTTAGAATTATCAATAAGATCCATGAACCACACTGATGTTTTAAACATATTTTTTTCTAATATATGTATTCGCTAAACTGTTTATGAATTAATGAATTTGTTGATTACAAATCACAAAATAATTTGAACAAATGAACCATTATTACTACAATTGATCCTACTAATTACTGCAATGGTCCCCTAAGTAGCATAGGTAGATAATTAGTGATTTCACTTTATTTTTCTGATTAGTTCTTAACACTTAGTGTAGTAACAGGAATATAAAATGTAAAATCACTCAGCATGATGCAATATGTGGATCCCTTTAGCATACATACACACATCACCAATTCAATAAGTAGACTTTCAATAAACTCTGAAGAAAATCCTAAAATGGGGAATCAACCTTCCACTTGAATTTGAAGTTTAATTAAACATCTTTTGGATATTCACCCATATGTGAAAACTCTGTGAAGAAGAATCCAAAGAGATAAATATCTTGTAAAAATGTCATAATTTGGTCAAAAAAGCCCTTGGGGCTATTCAAAGTGTAAGTCCTCAGAAATATCATAAGTTTGTCTTAACCATACCTGGTTCAAAGAGCACCTTTCATGTGGCGAGTGTACACCCACTTAAATAATTTCAAATGTAAATTACAAATAATAATTCTACCTCTATTTCAACAATTTTTAACTTAAAATACTTTAGAAATAGTATTTTGTCATTTTCCAATGTATATATTATAATTTCCTATACTGAACATGTATTTCTGATATAGGTACTTCCCTCTTCTTACAAGATAAGCTATTCTTGTTCATTGCTGCCCTCTTTTTGCAAACTTTTTTATTATGCATGCCACAAGCCTTACACACCTCCCCTACTGGAATCAAATGATTCCAGCATGTCTCTCATGCATCACCTATCTACTCCTACCAATAGGAGCATAGTACACTCACGTAATGCATGTGACTCCCTCTATGTGTCTCTACTGAACTATCATTTCAAAGTTTGTCAGATAATGGAAGCACCAGAAGTGAGTGAGGAGGAAGGGTGGGAAGTGTGAACGGAGGGAAGTACCTATTGGAAATACATTTTCAGAATAGGAAAATTATAACTTCCGACATGGTACTTCCCTCCGCTCACAAGATTAGCTAGAATACTATATTGATTAGGAGGAGGGACCAGTGTGAAGGAAAAACAGACATACCCCCCAAAGTGTCTGGAGGATATCCCTGTAGATGAGATAGTCAGACCCAAAGATCTCGAGAGGAGATCCACACCACTTCTGATCCAGGTATACTCATTGCCCAGTTAAGGATGGTGTAGAGTAGCTTGGGTGCGGCGGACCATACTCGGCAAGTCAACTACATCCAAAACCTCCTCACTGGGTACCAACATCCATGCGAGGGTAGGATGAGGATCATACTGTCTTCACCTCAGACCCAAGAACCGGGAATTCAGATCTACTCCGATTCCTAGGTATTACACAGGATGAGCTCTGAGCTGTAGATCCAGGTATGTGAAGTCCAGTATCGAAAGGAAGTCTATCACATGCAATCAATTCCCATGAAGCATGAAGCAGGTCAGGATCATCCAAAGGGCAATAACATCCACATAAGTAGAGAGAATGAGGGAGAGCCAAGGAAAGAACTGGAAGAGTCCCATGTATCTCATCTGTGACCCACAACACAGAAGGAGGAATTGAGGGAGGAAGATAGACAACTTGAAACTTATGTTGATTGGTTCACTTGAAAACTAGCTCGCGTGGTACTGACATCCATGAGAGGGTAGGAAGAGAGCTCCCAATTGAAGGGGTGAACTGCATTTTGACATCTCACTCCATTGTATGTTTAATCGCAAATTAGAGGATATTACGTCATTGAATGGTTATAGCCATCTTAAGTGGAACCCATCTAGCAGGGTGCCTCCATGGTCAACCACCCCAGAGGCTTGGAACTGGTAAGGACTCTCATACTCCACTAGAATAAAAAAGGGTGAGAATGCACTGGAGAGCCCGGGGGAACATCGACACCTGAGACAGTGCAATGGGTGATCAGAAACCCTATTTTGAAAAGCAGACCAAGGCATGGCAGGGATGAGCAGCTATCCCCTTCTGCTTTAACCACAAAGTCCATGGGTGGTATGCTCCGGGGACGGGCCAATTTATGAAGCAAATATCATAACGTTATTCACCTACAAGCAATCTTAAACACCCCATCTCAAAGGTGAATGTGTGGAGCCATGGAAAGAAAGTGCTATTCAACATGGCATACAGTGAGGATTTAGTGTTTGTCAGAATTTAAAGTTATGATTCTTTTTGCCAATTATCAAAATAAAAGGCTTTTAATTATACTTCTTAATAGTATAAATATATACCATGTTATTGTTGGGCTTAGGATTCTTCTACAGTAGGTGTCTGTGACTTGTTGGTGATAAATTAATAGTATGCACTCCACTTGTTTTCAAAATAATATATATATATATATATAT